AATCAGATCCTGTGCAGATCAAGGAGATTGTAACGTAGGAGGCCTGACAACGGAGTAGAGGATCCAAAAGCAAGGCTTTATTAAAAGCGTGGTCAGACAGGCAGGGTCAAAACACCAGCAAACAGTAATATCCAAGGCACAGGCAAAAGGGTAATCCAATACACAGGCAATGGTCAGGGCAGGCAGCAAACAATCAAAAAACAAGGAAACAGTCCAGGGTCAGAAACAAGGAACAAGGTAACAAAGTAGAACACGAGAACACTACAGGCTTAACAATCATCAGCGGTGTGAGAGTGTGTGTGTGTGTGCCATTCTTACACGCCCTGTCCCAAATGGAACACTTCATGTGCACTTGCGGTCTTACGGACTTACAATGGCCGCCGCGTGCGCGTGTCCGTTAAGTCCACGAGACCGTAGGGTGTCCCAGTTGTCATTTTAGCGTTCAGACGGGTGCTCGCGAGCGCCTTCTTTGCGACCGTTATGCGCCCTCGATCCGCACTGGGGCGAGCTCCGCAGCAGACTTCTACCCGACAGTCAAAGTGGCATTACGTCACGAAAGTGCGGGACTCAGAGGAAGACCGCAAGGGTTTAGGGTGCCATTTGGGACAGGGCCTTATAGTGTGTGACTTATGAGGTGATGAGAGACAGGTGACTACGATTGGTGAGTGCCGATGAGTCCGGGCAAAGGATTATGGGAAATGGAGTCCTGAGTGAATAGTAAAAGTCATGGATGGAGTGCCCTCTGGTGGAGATCATGGGCACTCCAGTGGGAAATCTTGACAGAGATAAACATGTAAAAAAAAGTTAAAAAAAAAATAAAAAAGGTTTAATTTAATTAAATTAATTTATTTATTTTTTCAGATCAGGGAGTTAAACGTGCAAGAAATATATGTTTTGTTCTAATCTGTTGTAGGAGTCAGTAGCTGAGACGCTGGGAATCCCGTCCAATCGTGTTTCTTGTCACGTTAAGCGACTGGGCGGAGCCTTTGGAGGCAAGGTCACCAAAACCGCCATTTTGGCCTCCATCACTGCTGTTGCTGCATGGAAGTGAGTCAAAATAAGTTGGACACAAACATCAGAATCATCATGATTATTTAAATTACATATTAAATGTAAATTATTTACATTTGTATTTACCATATGAATATTTTTAATATGTAGAAATTTGGCAAGTATAACACTTACTATCTCTCTGTTCAGGACTGGACGGCCAGTACGATGTGTTTTGGAGAGAGGAGAGGACATGTTAATTACCGGAGGACGCCACCCGGTGTGGGGAAAATATAAGGCTAGTGCTTTTTCTAAACACGTAATCTAATAACAACTATTGTCTAATCTGTATTTATGTAATTTATTTGCATATTTTTACTTCAACAGGTAGGCTTTATGAAGAACGGGAGGATAACAGCAGCTGATTTCCAGTACTATGCCAATTCCAACACTGCATTCCGAGGGTTCGGTGTGCCGCAGTGCATGCTGGTCGTTGAGAGTATGATCGATGATGTTGCACTCAAACTCGGCCGTCTGCCTGAAGAGGTCGGTGTCACTCAGTCGCAAAATTGTCACATCATTATGCAACATAAATTCGTTATTATAGCCTTTGATGCTGATATAGAAATTAATATTTATGTATTTATGATTCATTCATTTATATATTTATTTATTGGCATTAATATAGCCTTTGCTGATATGGTAATTAAATTGTATTTATTTGTTTGTTTATTGGAATTAAAATAGCATTTGTTGCTGAAATTTCAATTTGTTATTTATTTATTGGAATTAATATAATCATTGATGCTGACATGGTAATGAATATTTATTTATTGGAATTAATATAGCCTTTGATGCTGATATGTTAATGATTATTGATTGATTGATTGATTGATTGTCATAAATATAGGCTTTTCTGGGAGAGTAAATAAATAGTTATCTACTTATTTATTTTCATCTCTCATTATTTGTGCTTTATTCCATTTTATTTTTGCAGATCAGGGAGATAAACTTGTACAAGGAAGTGTCCCACACTCATTACAAGATGGAGTTTGACCCAGAGAATCTTGTCCGCTGTTGGAACGAGTGTATGGAAAAAGCTGACTTCAGGCAGCGCCGGCAGGCCATCGATCTTTTTAATCAGCAGAACCAGTTCAAAAAGAGAGGAATCGCCATTGTGCCCATCAAATATGGCATTGGGTTTGCTGAGGGCTTCCTCAACCAGGTTACATTCTTCTAAATCATGCCACAGTGTCTTTTATATTATTTTAAATGAACTCCAAATGATCTGTTGGTGTTTTCGTTTGTTTTTAACAAAGGCTGCCGCTCTCGTGCATATTTATAAGGATGGGTCTGTGCTAGTGAGCCACGGCGGGACGGAAATGGGCCAAGGCGTACACACTAAAATACAACAGTTACCACTTCCTGCTTTCTGCATGTATCTGTAACCATTTCATAGTTTTTGGGCTAATCTCAGCTGTTTTCTCACAGGTGGCGAGTCGAGAGCTGAATATTCCTGCTTCTTTGATCCACATCTCTGAGACCAGCACACAATGCGTCCCGAATACCTGCCCATCTGCTGCGTCCTTTGGTACCGACGCTAATGGAATGGCTGTGAAGGTATCGAACACCAAATTTTGAAACGCCAGATCTGTCTGGACGACATGATTTGTTGATCTTGAAGGATTTATTTCTTTTGTCTATAGGAGGCAAATTTGAAGAAATCATAAAATGCACTTTATGCTTTAATGTCTATTTTTGGAGTGTTCAAATCATACTTTTGCAGGATGCCTGTCAAATACTGTACAACAGACTAGAACCAATCAGAAAGAAGAATCCTAAGGGAACATGGCAGAACTGGGTAAAGTGGACAAACCATTAAAGTTTCTCCTTTTTGATGCAAAATGAAAATGATGAGTACAGTTATTTATGCTACAATGTCTTGTATGGATAGTACACATAGTTCTGACTTCAAAATCTGATGGGCCCCTTTCTTAGAGAACTATAGTTTCAATCAAATCCAGACAGTTCAATATGGGATGACCATAGCAAAAAAGAAAATTTTGTTGATGTGGAGCAAAGAGTTTGTACCTAAATTTGAGGCGTGGCTTACAGAGTTCAGTAATGTGTTACATATGGAAAAGATTAGATACGAGATTGCGGGTAAACCAAAGAGATTCGTACAGATTTGGAAGTCCTTCTTTGAATATCTGGAAGGTGACCAATGATAACTGAATTTAACCACCTTCTTTAAGTGGTGTGGTTAATTTGATCAAATATAGCAGTGCGTAACAATTTTATTTTTCCATAATTGGGTAATTATTGGTATTGGAAAGAATTTTTTTTTTTTTTAATGATTCTGTACATGTAGAGATGTCTGTATGTGTTTTTGTATAGGTACACAAGTATGAACGATGTATATGTACACTATGTGGGTGTATATATATTTATATGCATATATGTATCAATACATTAGTAGATTTTTTTTCTCTCCAATTTGCTGGCATGGGGGTTGGGGGATTGTTCTCTAAAATGTGAAAAGCTTTAAATAAAATATATAAAAAAAAAATAAAAAAAATCTGATAGAATCGGCCACGTTCAGTACAGTTCTGAAATAGTTGCACATTATTTGATTTGTATTAATAATTATATATTAATATAATCTACAGTTAGGTAAATTAACTATATTATTTGGTGGAAGATTCAATTTGATTGTAATTTATTATTTACACATTGAATATTTTTTAATATTTAAAAATATTAAATTTAATACAATTGTTTATCTATTTATTATTAGATATTGGTGTTTTTTATTATATTACTATTGCTCCTTTTATACAACAGCAATAAGTTACTCAAAGCCATGTGTTACAGACCATGTTTAATTATTATTTTTTAATTAAATGCATTATATATTTTTAGATATTTTATTTTTGATATATTTAATGTATTTTATTTTTGTATTTATTTTTTTATGTCTTTAAAGATAACAACAGCATTTTTGGAGAAGATCAGTCTGTCAGCCACAGGATACTACAGGTAAATCACCCAAATTTCATTTAAAAGGAGCGTTTTTGTTTTTTAAATGTACTTTGAGACATTAAAGTGGTAGTCGTTTGTCAACAGTGTGATCTTCAGTGCATCATCAAAGAAGCAAACAAAGGCTTAAAACTAGACAAAACATGGAGGTTTTGTTTAATGCTTAGTGAGAGTTTTGTCTGTTTTCAGAGGTCACGATCTAGACATGGACTGGGAGAAGCAGGAAGGCAAGCCGTACGCTTACTTTACGTATGCGGTGGGCTGCAGTGAGGTTGAGCTGGACTGTTTGACTGGAGAGTACAGGGTAAATCCAGATATGATGCAGAAGATTTGTGGCATGTACATTTTCTGCTATTTGTCTAGTCACTGTAAAACTCATCTGACATACTATATCTTTTCCTCATAGACCTTGAGGACTGATATTGTTGTTGATATCGGCAGAAGTATAAATCCGTCCATTGACATTGGTCAGGTAAGATGATTTCCTCTCTTAATAGAAATTAATTTTTATTTAATAGCAAAATATATAATCTATACACCAGTGATTAATAAATATGTCTGATTATTAGCCAATATTTCTTTTTATTAATCACCATTGCCCAGTAACAGAAGTGTTAGCTCCCCCTTGTGTCAGGTCCAAGAGTAAATTTTGAGCAAAATATATGTATTTTTAATAATTGTAATATCTTTTGTTCATAATTGTCATCAATTTTATTAAATGTAAACATTATAATAATTTTGTTTAGCATTTTATTATTGTTTCATTTATTATATTATATTATATTATACATATGGGCTATTTATATTATATTATATTATATTATATTATTATACTATACATATGGGATATTGACCCATATACACTACCTTAGAAAATTGCTTACAATTTATTTTGTTTTCCACAAGAAATATTAAGATGTTTTCAACTTTGATAACAATAAGAACTGTTTCTTGAGCACCTAATCATATTAGAATGTTTTCTGAAGGATCATGTGACTCAAGTAATGGCTGCTGAAAATTCTGCTTTTGCTATCACAGAAAATAAACAAAACATTTTAAAACATATTCAAATGGAAAACAGTTTATTTAAATTGTAGTAATATTTTGCAATATTACAGCATTTACTGTATTTTTGTTCAAATAAATGCAGCCTCGGTGAGGATGAGAGACTACTTGCATATATATGCATTTACTCATATAATATGTATGTCTGTGTTAGATTGAGGGAGCATTCATGCAGGGTCTGGGTCTCTACACCATGGAGGAGCTCAAGTTTTCTCCGTCTGGTGTTCTGTACACACGTGGACCAGGCCAGTACAAGATCCCGTCCTTCTGTGATGTCCCTCTGAAGTTTAACGTCTACCTTTTAGCCGGCTCATCCAACCCTCACGCCATCTATTCATCAAAGGTGATTCACTCATCTTCTCCTTATTATGGATATCTGCTACTGTACTATACTTTCAGGTCACTTTAGAGTCCATTTATTTTGATTTTGTGGAATCCTTGTGGTTTACTTCACATCTAATTGCATTCAAACCTAATACTGCACCCTAGTTATGATTTTTCGTACCATTTTTTAGTGTTTTTCCAGATCTGCTGTAGAGGTAAAATCACTGCAAACTAAAGCATTCTCATCCTCTTGTTTTAGGGAATCGGAGAGCCGACTGTTTTTCTGGGCAGTTCTGTATTCTTCGCTATTAAAGACGCTGTGACTGCAGCTCGAAAAGATGCAGATTTAACTGGCCCCTTCCAGCTGAACAGCCCTGCCACCCCAGAGCGGGCATGTCTGGCCTGTGCCACACACTTCACAAAGATGGTACGCGAGTTACATTAACCCATTTGTGATTTTTTGAGTCCAAATCTAAATTAAACAAATACTTAATAAATATAAATGTGGTAAAAAAAATCATTTAATCCTTATTATTTGATTGTCATAATTGAAATATATTAATATAATTTTGTTTTCGGTAGGTTGCACAAAGTGGATCAACTTCTGGACCGGCTCAGCCGTAGGCTCTGAAAATATGAAAACATTATTCTGATTTAAAGCTTTTGAGTTGCTCTTATCAAATCACACAACATTTATTATATTTATGTAGACACAAGACCTGATTTAACATCCAATTATTATCAGCTGTTTGCTGAACGATAAGTAATCTACTAAAAAACAAACTAAAGAAGCTCTGCATGCAATCATGTATCAAGAACAATTTATAGTTATTCACGCTTATTATTAACACATCTTAATTTCATCTCACATAAATCAGTTCACTTGACATTTAGGCTTTGCTTTAACAGCTATTATAATAAATGTGAATTAATCTACATCCTACAATTGACTAAGCAAGTTCCTTATTGCTTTTATAAAACACTAACTGCATAATAAAAATATTAAAGAAGGTAGAAGTCCCCGACATGTAAATTGAGGTTAAGAGTTTGACCTGATAGCCAGTTTATGAGCTCAAAGTCTCAATGAAAAGGAAGTGACAGCTTGTTTAAGTGAGGCATTACAGAGTTTGAATAATCTGATGTTTTTCTTCACACATTGATGGTCCAGGGTTTGGTTTTTACTTTCCTATCCAGTGGAATCTGTAAGAAAGAGTGATATTTAAATGATAAACTTGTACATTTCTTTTTAGTAGCCAAAACCGATAAACCTGGAATAATGTATAATAATATAACAAATAAAATATTTTAATCTATTACATGTATTAGATTATAGTGGTATTATAATATATTAAATATATATATATTTTTTATAATTAAGAATATTAATTTACTGTATTAACACTGTTCACCCACCATCCTTGTAAAGCAGTCTTCACAGGCCATATGTATCTTTTCCGCAGTAGCAGGAGAAGAGAAAGGGAAACTGTCGCTCAGGCCTCTCTCTCTCCGTGCGGCTGCTATCGCTTCTTTAATGGCAAAGAACAAAGTGCAGCCGAAAAACACAGGAGGCTCCCCGATCCCCTAAAAAAAAAAAAAAACATTACCTTTATAACCAATATTTCATCCGAGATTAAAATTCCAGTGTGCATAAATATCTTGTTTTGTTCAGAATGTCGGATTACTGAAGTAAAAGAGGTTGCAAATGTCGTTTAATGTGCTCAAACGATTGAAGTCTGGCGTGAACCGGCCTGACCTGAAGAGTTTCGCAATAATAGAAGCCTAGACGTAACTTTTGGTGATTATGTCTGCAATTATCACTGAAAGGTAAATATTACTAGTTATTCGCTATTTATTTTTACTTAAAAAGCTTTGATTTTATTTCAACTTGCTCTGTTGGCATTCAGGGCTTTTTGTCTTACCTTTGAGGAGTAGATGGCATGAGGATTGTCTGCGTTCCTCAGCAGATGGACAATTAAGCTGAGGAGGGACGTCACACAGAGCTGGGATTTTATACTGAGAGGGACCCCTGGTCAACAACACACCCTCAGGAGAAAACTGCAACTCCTCTATAGTATAGAGCCCAATTCCCTGGACAAAACCACCCTCCACCTGTAAATGCACACACATTTATTTACTGTAGTGTATGGTCACTGATTTACACCCTAATTGTTTGCATCTGAAGTATAATAACAAAATATCTTCCATACCTGTCCAACATCCAGAGCAGGGTTTATGCTCCGACCAACATCCATCACAATGTCGGTTCTAATGTTCTGTAAAATAGAATTTCACAGTCCACAAAATTGTAATATTCAAATTGCGAATGTGCTTTATGAATCCTCGCCACTGACACGGCAATAACTGCTCATAAATCTTTACCAATTTCACACGTATGTTGCATAGCCAAATCTTATTAAAATGTATGAATATATAGATGATTAAAAGAAAACAAGAACCTTGTGATCTCCTGTCAAGCAGACAATTTCCACCTCTGAGCAACAGGCCCCGAAAGTAAAGTAGTAGTATGCGTTGCCCTCGCTCTTTTCCCAGTCAACACTGGTATGGGGGCCCCTGGTATAAGTAAATTGTCTATTTAATTTTGTATTTATTTATTAGTAAGACACATTCATTCAACTCTTAACAGTATCTCATCACAGACAACTCAGTATTTTGCTTTATACTATTACAAGGTCAAACACATACATAAAGAAACCTGTTGCTGACAGACTGATCTTCTGGCAATATGCTTCCACAACCTGGAAACATAGCAGCAGTTAAGTGATTCTCGTTTGGCCATCCATCTTTAATTCAGTTTGTATTATGTAGTTGAGTATTTGAATGTCGCTCTTACTAACCAGTTGTTGCCAGGTGTATTGGGGATGTTTCTTAATGAGTGGCTCCAGACGTCTCATTAGTTTCTCACAACCATTCTATGTGCAAAATAGTACAATTTCAGTCATGAAAAAGACACTTGTGTAAATGTTGTACATCAGTGATTGTCCCTATACCTTGACTGCCATCCCGACAGCATCCGTGCCAAAGGATGCAGCGGATGGTGCAGCATTGGGCACGTTTCCTGTGCAGGTTTCCTTGATGTGGATCGAAGACATTGGAACCTTCAGAATGCGACTTGCAATCTGCAATTTGAACGTGAAGGTTGACATTATCTTGCAAGTGGCATATTTCATGTAATAATTGTATTTGGATCCATTGTTCAACACTGAGACTCATCGCACCTGTATGGCTTTGGTGTTGATACCTTGACCCATCTCGGTTCCTCCATGTGAGATCAGAACCGATCCATCTTTGTAGATGTTTACCAATGCTGCTCCCTGAAGAGAATTTCAGGAAAACTGTCCGATATTGGATATTCTTTGTAGTAGTATTGACTAATACACAGTGAAAAGCTTTAAAGTGATCGTGTGAACCAAACTGCACCATTTTATGTGCAGTCTCACAAGTTTTTACCCACCTGGTTATAGAAGCCCTTGGAGAATCCAATTCCAAACTTTAGTGGGACAATGGAGATCCCTCTCTTCTTCCAGTGGTTGTGGGCATTAAACTGCTCGATGGACAGACATCGATGGGTGTAGTCAGATTTCTCGAGACACTCATTCCAGCACCGCACCATGTCACGAGCAGAAAAGAGCTGCTTGTGGTGGGTGTAGCATTTCTCATCCTTGTACATGTTGATGTCTCTCACCTGTACAGAAAGACATTTTTTTATTTTTTGGATTGCATTTTTAGAGTCGAAATGAAAACCCCAACAATATTATCATGATCTGACACATCAAAAGTTACCTTAACAGCTCAACATCATGAACCAACAGTTGTAGGGTTTTTAACATACAGTCTTTTGGCTACCAGTTCAAATTTCAACCCATTACAACTGTTTGAATTCTGTTTAATCAACTTGTCTTTAATCCCACCTGATGTGCAGGTAAGCCACATCTGGCGGCCACCTCATGTAGCACGCCCTCAATGATGGTCAACCCTTGAGGTCCACCAAATCCACGGAAGGCTGTATATGAGGGTAAGTTGGTCATGCACACCAGTCCATGTCCACGTAGATTTGGGATCTTGTAGCCATTATCCATGTGAAGGAGAGCTTTCTCCATGATCTGGTAGTAAATTACAGAAGATACGTGACTTGGAGACTGACCTACATGGGAATTTAAGGTAACCTAGCTTACAGTTCCTTATTATCAGGATTTACTTAATTGATTTTCAACATTTCATAAAGGGATTGGCCATTTCAAAATGTAAAAGTTTTTCTTGTTAAGTCTTAAAAACCAACATACAAAGGAGGATTCGTCCAGAGTGCATCCTCCATTACTGTAGTACGTGATATCAGCAGCCAGGATTGTTCCATCATTCATGTATCCAACCTGTAGGAAAAAGGCAGGACTTAAGCTGTTGTGATGCTTCACAGTTATCCAGTCAACATACTGTTACCAATAGTGAAACATTACCTTGTACCTTCCCAAGAAAGGGGACCTGCCACTGGTGATTAACATGTCATCGCCACGTTCTAGTACACATCGTACAGCACGGCCAGTCCTGTGGTTAAATTTGAGTGGTAAAAGTTTTTCTTGTTAAGTCTTAAAAACCAACATACAAAGGAGGATTCGTCCAGAGTGCATCCTCCATTACTGTAGTACGTGATATCAGCAGCCAGGATTGTTCCATCATTCATGTATCCAACCTGTAGGAAAAAGGCAGGACTTAAGCTGTTGTGATGCTTCACAGTTATCCAGTCAACATACTGTTACCAATAGTGAAACATTACCTTGTACCTTCCCAAGAAAGGGGACCTGCCACTTGTGATTAACATGTCATCGCCACGTTCTAGTACACATCGTACAGCACGGCCAGTCCTGTAGTTAAATTTGAGTGTACAGTCGGTACTTAGCATTATCTTTTAGTATTGTGTTAAAGGCATAGCATACTTTCTTTGCACTTCACAGAAATAAGAAAACAATGCACTTAAATATAAGCAATAAGGGCAAATACAAAAGCAGTTAAATAAGTGCCATTCTGTAAAAGGTACAAGTCTCATTTTGCCATACTTGTAAGCGGCTGTAGCAGCGATGGCAGATAATGATGCAATCTTCATGACTTTGCCTCCAAATCCACCTCCCAGCCTCTTCACATGACATGTGATCTTATTGGAATCAATGCCAAGAGTGATGCCCACCACTTCCTGTTGTTCAAAAGACAAAATTAGGTCAAACATTGAGGAAGAGTATGTGAATAACATTTTTTAATGAACTTTTTTTCATGCTCCACATTCTTT